GGAGAGGAGAGGAGAGGAGAGGAGAGGAGAGGAGAGGCTATACCTGATGTTGGGCCTCCTCCAGATTCCCACTGGCCCACAGAGAGAGTCCTAGACGATGGCGGATCTTCGCCTCGTCCTCACGCCGAGCCAGCTGCTCTGCAAGCCGCAGACCTGTCAGAAAGGGGGAAAAGGGAGCAGATGAGAGGGAGAGGAGAGTAAAAATTATTCAGAGCAGGCAGACTCTTAGGTATATTTCAGAGTAACAGATGTAAGCATAGCGTGGTACTGATGTTCTGACAGCGAACAGGTTTGGGTATTTGGCCTCAGTTGTAAGATGCTGCTCGCACTGGTTCTAAAACACACACACACACACACGCACACACACACGCTTCTGCCAGAGAGGGTGTTAGAGCACTTATCGGGCTGCATAGTAATCAATGCTGAGGATCGACTGGCTGAGCAAACACAAACACACGCCTAATGCTTGCATAAAAGAAGCCACACAATATCATGAAGATGTCTACAAATATTTGCAAACACAATGATGAGATAATAATAGACCGAATGCAAACACGCAGCCTACTTTGTGACATTTTGTTTGAGAGACTTTGTTTGGAAAGCCAGGGGAGGTCTGACTGTGCATGTGTACGTAGGTGTGTACGTTCAGTAAGTGTGCCTGTGTCAGATCACCTGGCGAGCGCACAGTTTGTTTTTCACTTCCAATTCCTCAGGCAGCGACGCGTATGTCACATCTTTGCATGTGTCCTGAGTCCGCCTGCCGAGTACTCGGTTCTACCCAATTACTGAGATGAAAATGCCACTCCACAGAGGACAATGATGAAAGAAAGAAAGAAAAAAGTGACAGCTGCCGGGCCACACATCACCCACAAGGTGCTAAATGCACAGCAGGAATTCTGCAGTTCTGCAATAGCTCATGCACAGTCTCACTTAACATGGGCTCTGTATTTGCAAGTCTATTCTCGCTTGTGTGATGGAGGGGTCTAAACATGCTTTTGGTCAAAGAGAGGAGAAAATGGGCCAAGCCACCCTCGCCCGAGTCTGCTTTTCACTGCATTCCTGGAAAACAGTCTGTGGCTGGACCAGATAAGCCAAGAACAGAGAGCGTGACCTGAAAAAGCCAGGCTATTCCGCAAGACCAGCACACCACGCAACCATAGACTTCATGGCTCCTCCATGGCCACGCTAGCAGGCAGCCTTTGAAGCCTGCAACAGTCTCCCCTCTCTTCCTTATCTTTCCGCACGCCCCCCTCTGTCTGCCCGCCTGCCCTCTTCCCCCATGCATCCGCTGTGCTCCTCTCTCCCTATACCTCCTGCATTCATTTGCTCATCCCTGCGCCTGTGTCTCTGTTGCCCCCCCTTCGCTCTCTACCTGTTTCATCTTTACCGTGGTGGCAGTGCTTGCGGGGGACTCGGCACTGCTTAGGGCTCATTAGGCGCTGGAGCAAGAGAGAGGAAACAGATCTAAATTATCCTTTTCATTCTCTGACAGCCTCACCCCTCACTCATCTCAACTCCGGCTCTGAGCCTTTCATCTGCACGTACACACGAATGCACACACACACAGACGCGCACACACACACACACGCAACCAGAAAACCTTTCTTTCTCTGAGCTGCTCTGTGATAGTTCTTTATGATCAAGCCTGAATGTCAACCAACTCTATGTTTTCTTTATTCTCCAGTTGACAGTGAAATAATACATGTGAATTATGACTCATGCCGATCGCTGTCTTTCCCCTCCACCCAGCTGCCATCCTCTTTCTTTCTCTGTACGTCTTCTTCCCTCCCTAACTCTCTCATTCCCTCTGTATCATTCAGTGTCTGTCACTGTCACCGTGCGTGCCTTTGGTGCGCCCCGCAGGCACAGTCACGTAGCAGCGGCTGACATGAGGATGTGGCCGTGGCTGGCTGCACCCTGAAGAGCAACTAGAGAACACTTTAAAGGCTGCTTGACAGCTGGGTGAGAGATCCCCTGCAGCCCCGGAGGCCCACGCACCTCTGCCTTCAGACACGAGCTTCACGTGCAAGACACCGCAGATGCATCTCATGCACCGCGTAACCGCAAAGCGCGGTGGGCTGCAAACAGATACCCCGGCACACATGACACCTGACAACACAGTGCCCTTTGATCATGACCACATATGGAACAGTGAACAGTATGTGTGATGTTATTTAAAAACGAGGATAACAGCACACATTTACGCACATTCTCCCCTGGGGGAAGACAGCACTAGTAATGTGGCACCGGATCGTACAGATGGAAAGTGCCACAAATAGTTGAGTACCAGATGAAAAATAAAAAGCGAGAAAGAGCAGCGCAAACCTTCACTCCTCTCTCACCTCGGCACAGCCGGCCAATTGTGCACTGGAGTGGATGCGAATGTCAGACACAGAAATCCCCTACTACACGTCACAAAGTTGTGCGAAGAGGGATTTCTGAGGCTATCCAAAACATCAACACGTGGTTCAGACAGAGCACAAATCCCACTTAGGTGTAATAATAACTGTTTTTGATGGCCAAAAAACAATCCTGGAGACATTTTACAATGCAAACACTACATTTTCTCTAATATTGACACATACATTTACCTAATCTGTATCAATAAATATTTTCCTCACACCTTTGCAGTTTAATTAAAATACTAATGATGACAAGAGTATAATATTGAAGAAACATCCAATCCTATTTTAAATTCAAACACATTTCTACAATGGAGCTAACATGGCTCTCAGACAGGATCGACGTCTTCATTAATTTGAGACTTACATATCGGTATTTGTGGAAGCCTGCTTAATAATTTATGAGATAATGGAAAGCTGGGATAATTCTTTTTTTTCAGCTTTTCAAACGATAATCTTTAGAATATATGCACTTACAGTGAAAGATTCACTCTCTAAGAAAGAGAACTCAATAGACTTAAGCACAGAGATACGTCTATCTATAGCGCTATATGCCACCAGCCCTTGCTGCCACTTAAACAGCATCCAACATTCAAGTTTTATAGCATAAAAATAGCAGCGCTGAAAACTGAGCAAGGAGGTCGACACATGACGATAACTGGTCCAGATATTTCGAGATGCACATACATATCATCCAACTGCGTTTAGTTTTAGATGCCTCTTGACAACCTCCTCCAAGACTTAACAACATGAATGCATGAGTTTAAATGATTTATAACTGTATAACAATAAAATGATCCCCTAAAACACACAATGCATGTGACCCTAAAATGTTTGTCTGGAACACACAATTAAGGCTCTGTTTATACAAGCTTATTCATACAGTTGAGTTTGCATATGGGAATGTATTCTCCCATATAAGTTTGCTTTGTGCATACAACACAAATATTATTAATAGAGTATTGAAATGAAATAAATAATTAAGGATAATTTGATACAAAATATGCAGCCACAATGCATGTGTACTTTATATTAGCATATGCAAATAAAACAAGTTTTTAAAAAAAGGATACATTTAAATATATATACAGTATATGACTACTGGATTTGATCCATAAGGACACATAAATTTCATATTTATTTACAAATCCATTTACATCATAGGATAAACCGATATGTGACCTATTAACCCTGGCTGACGTATGAGGCATCCAATACATTTCTCAAAATAAATTGCTTTTGTAGGTTAATATTGTGATTCCATTAGTTAGTTCCTTTAGTTATTCCATAAACCAGGCTTGGAGAAGCTGTAATACCTCCATTAGTCGCTACAATGACTGCATTGATTTAATGACACCATTGATTGTGTTAATCGTTAAAAAGTGCATCTCGGTGTGAAATGACTCTTTTGTTTAAGATTGAGAAAGTGCAGCGTTCTACAATGTAACATTACAGGAACATAACTTGGGGATTAGTGTGAACTCTCGAAGTGACAGAAGCTCTGTCTGCCCATCAGCACCTAATTGGTGTCTTTTATGTCTTCCGCTGCAGCCTTATCATTACGTATAACTGCACAACACAGAAAACCCATCAGATACACATATAGAAACACACACACAGTGATTTGGAGGTCACATGTTGTCAAGAGTATCTGCGCTAGTTTGGAGCTGCCTTTCTATCTCTCCTTCCAATTAATCTTTTTTGGGAAACAAAAACAAAAAACAAGCAGTGCAGCATGAAGAATAAAAAAAAAAAAAGGAGCAGTAGAAGAGGGGGGGAAAAATAGAAAAACTGAAAGGAAAAAAACCCTGCCAACTTTTTGGTCTGGGTAGGTTGGCCAGAAATAATTGGCTGTCAAGGATAGTGAAGGCACTGTGCTTTTTCACAGCCAGACCAAGGAACAAAACAAGGACAGTGTGGGGGACAACAGGAGGACAGGGTGGAGACAGAATGGCCTGTCGCCTTTGTTTCCATTAAAGCTCAACAAGCAGGCCTGCAGAGGGTGTATGGGTCACTGCAGACCCAACTAACTCTAATACAGCGGACAGAGGAGAAATAGAGGAGATTTATTCCTGTTACTTTGCATTCACTCCCTGCAGGGTGAAATATACAAATGCCCTCTTATTCCAATTTTCTTGGATTCAAACAGGGTCGTAACACCGTGGGTGCACCTGAGCATGAAGTCTGTCAATGGGCACGGGTGAGGCTGGCAGCGTGGACATTCAGCTCACATATATGAACGCTTCCACTTATCACATCCTCAGTGACAAACACTTCCGGCACTGTCACTGACATAATGAATTTTTGAGAGGCCAAGCTGCAGGTTTTTATTTCACCATAATCTGTAGGGGACAATGAAGCGTGAGAGGCAGGAGTCTGACAGCCACTGTGTGAAAAGATTCTTTGGCAGCTTGCTGTAAAGAACCCTCTGAGAAAGTAGATACAGAGGTGTGAAAAACAGCTAGCAGTAAACAGGAAAAATGCCCTGGCATGCATTCTGATAGGTTTGCACGGACATACACACACAAATGCTGGTATACCTATACAGCTCAGAAGACAACACAAATGCATAATACACGCACAAAATCCCCCTGTGCACTTAGAACACATAAGCACAAAAGCCTAAACACACACACACACACGCACACAGCCTAATAAAAATGTGGCAAAGGCTTAGCAACAAATAGGCTCTGAATTTCATATTCATGAATTCGCAAACTCTAAGCCTATCAGCTCAGGCAACAAAGGCAATCCTCTCCCCTATTCCCCCTGACTCACTCACCTTCCTGCAGGTACATGACAGCTTGTGAGTAGTTTTGCAGTGCGTGGTGTGTTCTCCCCAAGCTGCCATAGGCCAGTGTCTTGGCAGCCAAGTCATTAGTCTGAGCCGCGACACTTAGGTGCTGTTCCTGGAACACGACCGCCCGCTCATAGTTTCCTAGCGACTCGTAAGTAAGGCCCAAGTTGCCATAAGCACGGGCCTGGCGCGTGGTGCTGCCGGCTTCCTCTGCAATCTCCAGGTCACTTTGGTGGCATCGCAGGGCTGTCTCATACTCTCCCATAGCTTGATACACAGCACCCAAACCGCAGCTGGCATCGCCCTCCAGTAGTCTGTCCTGGGTGTCACGAGCAATGGCCAGCTGTCGCTCCAGACAGGAGATGGCCTGCTCGTAATTGCCCAGTTGGCTGTGGAGCGCACCCAGTTCACCGTAGGCCTGAGCCTTGCCTCCACACTCCCCTAGCTCATGAGCCACCACTAGCCGTTTCTCAAAGCACACCAGAGACTGCTGTAGGTTTCCCATGGCCCTGTAGATGAAGAAAGAAAAGCCAGTAAGCAATAGAGTGAAGCACTGACATACGTGAGACACAGGATACAACAGAACCAAGTGCAATCCCAGTTAAATGTCAGGTGATTCAAAATTGCATCAGGTTGCAGTAACTGCAGTATTCTAATTTGAACAGGAATGTGTTTGCTGTTATGTAAAATGAAAATGTTGTAATTTAGATTTACTATGTTAAAAATACAGGCCCCACAGGAGGAACTCAGTCCACCAAACATCAGTACAGCTTTCACTACTGAGATTCTACTCTTTTTTTCATTTTGAAATAAATATTAAAGAGGGAGGAGGCTGTGTTGCTCTACCATTTACCCTAAAATACCCCAAAGATGTTCTGTCGGACTCAAGTCAGGCACCTTACTCGGCCATATTATCCAACTCCTATCTCTGTGCTACACTGTCGGCACTATGCATTCACTGTGGTAGTCCTTGCCAGGTTCATATCAAACATGCTGAACCCCATCTGGGCCAAACAAATTTATCTTGAATATTATCTGCCTATTTAATGTGCTTCCAATATTCACTACCCTGGTCCCTGACACTGTACATACGGGTTGACATTTTGCAATGTCACAGATATTCCCATTTCTACAGATAACCACTGTGTGAACTTTGTTGTTCAGAGCTCGATTGTGCATGCAGGGCACTGTCTGCATTGTCATTTTAGAAGGACAGCCACTACAGGTCTGATCAGTGGAACTATAGCTTGTTCTATATCGCCTGATTACTGCTGCAGCTGTGTTTTGACTTATTTTTAGATTAGGTCACCCATCTTTCCTGTACATCTTTGTGAAATCATAGCTCTTAGCTCTGCCTCTGCCTTTTTCCATGTGGAGCCATGCTGCAGACATGCAGACAGACAGAACATATGTGAGGAAGTTCTGGTGTTCACAGGTGATTTTATAACCAGTTGGGATGATGTAAAATCACAGGAGCACTCATATTTCAATGTGTTTTAATGATCACAGATTTTCTAACTTTTGTGTCTGTGACTTTGGTTGCATTGAGTTTTTACTTTGGGGCCAGTATTTTCAATATAGTCATTTTAAAGTATATGGTTTTGACTGTGTATAAGATTAAATGCTTTTATTGACTTAGAAATAATGCATTTACTGAGAAGCACTCACATTTTGAATCACTTGACATTTCAGTGATATTGCACAGGGCTAACGTAAAAAGAAAAAAAAAACTATTTTTATCACTGCTGATCTCACATCTTGGGGAAACTATATATTTGATTCATACAACATATATTCACTCTCCGAACCGAGACCTTTTAGAAGCTAAAACAAGTGCACACTGCAGGAACACTTACATTCGCAAAAAGCAACTGATGCTTCTGTTTTGGTGTCCATGAAACATAGATTTATCTTTCCGGTGCCGATAGCTGCTGATATGACTAAATTGTGTGTGAAAGGCTATATGAGAAATGTTTGAGGCATGATATGAAATTTTTAATGCTGTTATAGGACTGTTTTTGAAGGGAATCGTTTACCATCCTCTAATATGAGATGGGTCATCTGTCAAAATACGCCTGTTTTCATCCTCTTCTGTATGTTTTGACAGAGTGGCATTCATCCCATCTGAACATTTCATTTGGCTTCACAGCTTTCAAAAAGACTTTATTCACATTCTCAGGCACACCAACAATTGCTGGATGCTGGTTCAAATGGAGCATTAAAAAGAATAAAAGCCTTCAGCTTAATTAATGTTGTGTGTGATAATATATTTGCTTGACTAAGAGCTGCTGCAAGATGAGAAGGGTTTGATGTCTATTATTCCCTTCTGAACTCATGCATGGCTAATACAGCTGTGTGTGATTGCTGCGGTGCCATGCCGATGACGCACAATAAGAAGAAAATCATCTCTGAAATGAGGATTTCACCAAGCCTTTCGTGTTTTATTTTGCAGGGTAGTCTCCCAGGTTGCTATCAGCTCTTTGAAGCATAAGGAAAAATAGAAGGGAGAAGAGACACAAGATGTAAGAGGTTGTCTCGAAATAACTGTGCTTCCCCCAGTTTCAGACGTCTGTGTGCCAAAGCCACTTTGCATACAGATAAGGCAAGGGCCACTAGGCTGCTGCTGAGACAGCTAGTACCAGACTAACGTTCAAGCGCTGCTCACCAGCAAGGGGTCTCTTAACTATGGTGGTCCTTGATAGTGAGCACGAGGAGAGAAATTATATGCAAAGAACTGCGATTATTTGTTACAAAAAAAAACAAAAAGCTGTGACTACAATTATCTGCTGCACAAAGAGCTAGAGGAAACTGACATTGACAGTTATTTTTACAGCAATAGGACACTCACCTGTGTCCATTTCCTAAGCCTCTATAAGCTTTCTCCTGGTCCTGCATGCGGTTGAGGCTCTGGGCCACTGATAGATACTGGTCATAGTACTTGATGGCTTCCTCAAAGTCTCCCAGAGCCTCATAACAGTCTCCCAGGTTTCCATAGGCCCTGCCTCGGTCCATTACTGCTTCGTTGCCACTCAGCTGTTGTAAAGTGGCCAGTTGCTGCTCCAGGTAGCCAATAGCTTCCTCCATCACGCCTACATTCATTTTAGTGATGCCCATGTTTCCGTACACCTGAGCTTCCACAACGGGATCCTTCAGCCTGCGACCGAGCTCTAACTGCTCTTCGTAGCTTTTGAAGGCCATGGCGTACTTCCCGAGGGCCATATAGACAGCTGCCAGGTGACCGTGGGCTTTGCATTCTCCCGGCACATCACCGAGCTCCTGGTACACCTCTAGCTCCTGAGTGTGGTAGCCCAGGGCTTTGTCATATTTCTGCACAAGTCTGTAGGTGGCTCCGAGGGCGGCATATGCACAGGCCTCCATCCTACGCTCCTTTACCTGAAACGAATCAGAATGAGAGACATGAGTGAAAATCCAAAATATATTTCAAGCTACATTTTCTATGTATATATATATAGGCAGCCATACCTGGTGAGCTAAAGCCAGTTGCTGTTCATAAAACTGAATGGCTCCAGCCACATCCTTTTTACAGACAAATATGTCCCCCAGGTTCCCGAGAGCTCTGAAGCGAGCCTGTGCATTGTTCAGGGACTGGGCCAATGACAACAGGTATTTCTGACACTCTTCTGCCTTAGTGAAGTCTCCTAGAGCCTTGAAAGCCAAGCCAAGGTTACAGTATGCCTTGGCCTGACTCAGTTTATCATGAAGGTCCTTGGCCAGAGCAAGGTCCTGCTCATAGTATTTGACGGCATCCTGGTAGTTCCCCAAGCAGTAGTGGGCATAACCCAGATTGTGACAGACTTTCCCTTCACTCTCCATGTCCTGGAGGTCAGGGGACAGCCGGAGGTACTGCTCATAGTAGGGCACAGCCTGAGGAAACTCTCCTCGAGAGCAGTGGAAGTTGCCCAGGTTGCCCAGAGCCCGTGCTTCGCTCTGGACATCTCTGAGCTCACGAGCTATGTTGAGGTGGTTCTGGTAATGCTGCAGAGCACGGTCATGGGCGCCCAGAGCTTGGTAAGCCACAGCCAGGTTACCATGGGTGGAGGCCTGCGAGGCCCGGTCATTGACCTCCATGGAGATCTGCAGCTCCTGGCGGTGGTAGCGAACGGCTTGGTCAAAGGCTCCCAGGGCATTGTAGGCATTACCCATGTTACCATATGCCCGGCCCTGAGCAGCATAGTCATTCAGCTCCTGAGCAATGGCCAGGTGTGTTTTGTGGAGTTTCAGTGCAGTCTCATAGTCCCCTTTCATCTGGTGGATGATGCCTGTGGAGAGAGGAGAGAGAGAGCAAGAGGAAGAAGTTAAAGACCTATTCAGGGGAAAATTGTAATTGAGTAAAATTCAAGTGCCTCGTCAGCTCTTCATGTACAAAACAAGTCATTTGGTTGTTAAAATATGCTCTCTGAGCCATCTGTTCTCTGCTTACACAACACACTCTCCCACAGAATTATGGTCATTAAAATGTAGTGCAATCAAACAGAGTTATTATAACACTAAATAGAATCTTTTGATTGTTTAAGCTGCCTTTGATGATTGTGTCTTACAGGGATTTTACCAAAATCAACAACTTTTACACAGGGTTGGAAATAGCAGTGAGAGAGTAAGAAAGAAAGAGAGGGAAAGTATAAGTAGGAAAGAGTGTGAATAGTAGATGGAAAGCTCAGCAAACAACTTTGGAAAAAATGAGATAAGTGTGGAGAAACAATAAATAATACAGAACCCAGTGAATTGAGCGTATTATCTCTGATAAAATACCATCCTCTGAAAAATAATAGCTTTACCCCACAGCCAGGCAGCCATCTGACACACACACACACATGCACACACACACACACACACACACACACACACACACCGCACACGCGCACACACACACATACATACAAACAAAAGTGCACCCACACCTATACACTCATGCACAACGACAAATACACAGCAGAGAGTAAAGAGACATCAGAACATATCTACCGTATCTACCCTCCCTCCCTCTGAGACTCACTGCTAATCTCTCCGTCTCCTCTTTTGCATTGTCACCCAGCTTTTAGAGATAATAATTGCAGTGATAATATTAAACCTTACTGAGAGAGAAGACAGAACGGCTGCAGGCTGGTGGATGGAGACAGAGAAACCATCTGCAAGGCAAATAACTTTCATCCACCATACAGCCTGGTCATCACTGCTTTGCTGCATCAGCATGGAGGCTAATGGGGTAGTAGGACGGAGGTACAGCCACTGATGGGACACGAGGGATGGAAACAGTTCTGGAGCCAGAGTGGGTAGGAACCATGGTCGCTGAGGGGCTCTGTGGGTTGCGGTGAGCATGTGATGGTGCCGCTGGGATAAGTTACTGCCATGTGTGTTTTCCCATTTATTTCATCCGAAACCTGCCACATTATGGGCCTGAACACAGGCTATATAAATACTGGGACTGAAGCTAAACAGACAGCTCAAACGACTGCAGAAGTTACGTGGTAGATGTAGATAAGCAGTCCGATGCTGGCTGAATTAAAAAGCAGCACATTGCACCAATGAGAACTGGAAAAAAGATGCGGTGCCATTACAGCGTAAACCACTGGGCTACATATTGGCGTACCAGCTAGTTAGGTTTATTCAGACACACTTTACAGGGCTGGTGTAAGAAACTGGCCCACATATGTGAAATATGCACCATCAATATTTCACTCCAAATCAAGCATGAAGAAGGACTTTAATTAAAAACTAAACCTGCCTGAATTGGGTGTCGAAAAATTTGACATAGAAAATAAATCCACCTGCAAATAGATTGGATTTTTTTGGGGGGGGGGGAAACATAATCACACAGATCCTTTGGCTACTTAATTCAGACCATGATTCAGCATGTAGCACAGACCTACCGACAAATCAAACCTGATTGGCTGTTTGTTTGCTTGCTTGTGTTCTCAGGATAAAGTGATACAACCTGAAGTGACCCTGTAATCATCAGGTCACGGCCCTGAGGAATTGGTATGCTAGACGTCTCACAGAGAAGAGCAGAGAGGGACGGGGATGCAGTGCTGCCAAATGTTGGGCAAGACTAGTTAGCAAATAACAAAACAATGAAGACCTTTACAAAGAGTTAAATCTCTATTGTTGTTGACTGTGTACACGACAAATACAGTAAAAATGTGGCTTTTTGGGTTTTAAAATTTTGCTGGAACAGATATTTCCAACATCTTGGACAAACCCCTCAGCTTGGACTCTTTCCTATGAGTGGAAGCATGTTAAGATTCACAGCAGGCTAGTTGGAGAAGCAGTGACAGCTCTCGCCACAAAGTCACTCCCAAGGTTACGCTTTCCCCAATGGAGGCTGATCTTACCGAGGCTATAATGCCTACTGATGTATTACCAGCAAACATGTTCCATGCTGCAGGCTAAAAATGGATCTGGGGCTTGGTGATGGACGTGGGGGTAAAGGACAGCGGCTGGACAGAGGCTGTGGGAGTATGGTCAGGTTTGAGGTTGGGCTTGGAAGCTGCCATAGCGCCGAAATTGCCATAAGCCTTAGGCAATGCCTAGAGCTACACTTGAGGCAAAAAAACATTTTCTGAGCACCCCCCCCATATGGTAAGAGGATTACGGAACCCTCTGGGAATACTATCCAGCAGAACAGTAAATAAAACCATACCAAACATGAAGGTAAATACTGCTGCAACACAAAAATTGGGAATTATTAAGGGGGTCTGGCTCATGTGTTCATTGTGGCATGCTGTCCAAATTTAAATGACCTCGACAAAGTATCAGTCTTGGGATTAAATTTAACCTCAGATTTTACTGTAAATCTGTGGTGCATACTAAATGCATTTGGCTAAAATGCAGGGGAAAAAATGGCTCAAATATTCCTCACATAGCTTGAGACAAAGACAGTGAAAAAAACAGGATAAAGCCCACACCCCACCATTCAAATACTTTTATACTGAGCCCTATCCATCCCCCCATGACCAAAGACATTAAAAGCATGGCAATGTGTTGTCACTTTTCATTACACAGCTGGCTGTACATAGAGGGATATGCTGCAGTGATGACTTTGAGGGATGGTGTCGTGTTCTGAGTAAATCACTGTGTCATTCCTCCAGGAGCCAGGAAGGTCCAGAGCGCTGCTGCCTACAGTTAGCTAAGAGGATTTTTTACCAACAATGGCGCTGCTGCCACTGTGCTGGGGTGATACTGGAAATAGGGGAGAGATGACCACCCTGAGCCCAAAATAATGATTCCATTTTGTTCCTCATTTATATTTTAGAACGGGGTCAACATAAAAATTTACGATCATGTTTGAAAAGTGAAAAACCAGAGCGGGACACTGGAATTGTGGTGTTTGCGGAAATTTTGATGATAATACGAGTCTCAACTGGGGGAGGCCGGCACGGGTAAAATACCAAAATAGGGAAGTCAGACTTTGAAGGAAACTGACAGTAGTGGCAAAACATTTTATTCAACTACAGCTAGCATAAATAGTTCGCTACCTCTGAATAACTTTCATATATTCTGAAATGGAAAGAGTTCAAGGTCATCGCTAATGGATGTAATGCATGTGAGAAATCAAGATTACATTAATCAAACTACAAAGTAGTGTTTTAATGTACAGGACAAAATATGTATTTAAAAATAAATAATTATTCAGGAGAGGCACTTAAGAAGATAAAGTAGGGTAGAGCATCCTTATTGATTTTTTTTCCAAGTAGATCCACTGGTTCTAGTTTTCTAGTTTTGTTTATTAATTAATCAATAACAGAATACATGCATTATAATGATAAAGAGCAAATGAGGCACTCTGTCTTAACGCGTGGTTAAAGGCTATAGAGTTAGGCTGAAAACATTTTGCACAGCAGCAGCATTATTCAAGTCATGCATGGTTTAAACAGAAACATAAGGAGTACATGCAGCTTCCAAAGATGGCATATGGATGACTGTATCATAATGGAGAGGATAAAGAGAGACTTCAAATCACGTCTGTGCAAACAAAGAGGTGAATGGAAGATGAAAGACTACATGGCTATATTACTCTAAGTGTCTTAACAGAGAAGCATGATAATACAATACACAACGGTGTATTTTATGATCTGCTGGGGGAAGCAGTGAGCTAAAGCAGACATTAGATCCTCCTGTGGTCTGCACAAAGGGGTGGAGTTTTGGGGTTCGGGCTTAAGGTACCAAATCCTCACTCTCAGACTCAGATATCTCCTACAGTCTGACTGACAGGGAGAAAGGAAGGACAAAGATACAAAAAACAAAAAAAACAACGAATGGGTATGGATAGACAGTCGCTCAATGGGTGGTCTGCCAACAACAGCACGCAGACAGAGTGTTGTGCTCATCCTCTCCCAGAGTCCTCCAGCTGATCTGCTTTTGTTTTCCGCTCCTACTGACCTTCACCCCTCCTTCAGCTCACTAAACCAACTCTCTCTGCACCCTCCACACGCATGACATCTGATTCCCCCTGCCTCCTTAACAACAATGTTCAGCCTCAGTTGTCTCAACTTTTTTTTTTTTTTTTTTTTTTTTTTTTTTTTGTTTGCACAGCACAATCTCTTGTCTGTTTAGGAACAGATCACATTTCATGCTGAATTTACAGATGTGCCAGAAAAAGGGCACAGTTCCTTCTTGCAGAAGAATGCCACAGCGCTTTTGTTTCGTTTAATAGCTCTGCAAAGGGAGTGGAACAATAAGTGCACACGGACGGTGAGCTACACTCCGGTGTAAGGATAAGGACTAGGAGAGTTTGTTTCGCAGGGCCTCTAGTCCAGTTTCTGGCTCAGTCCTCGGTCATGAGATTAAGGGGGCCATGAGAGGGGAGGCAGGGAGCGTCTGCTGCTTTTCCAACAAACAGAAATTTGGAGCCAGGCTAAAAAGATCCACGGGCTAGCAAAGACCTCTCCAAGAGAGTAACACAGGACCGGCATCCTAATAATCCCGCTTCTCCAACCACTGTTCCAGTTGCCCTGTTTTCCCTTCTGCAGGCCTGCTAATATTTACACAAGGCATTAACGTGGTCATTAATGAAGAGCTGAAGATGTCACCGATCTCAGATAAATGCTCTTTTCTTGTGTATTTGTGAGGCTCTTTCACTGCCTCTCTCCTTACGTTGTTCTTTCATTCATCCTGTCTGGGCAATTAGGCGCTCTAAATTCCTCTGTAAATTCTGCCCCTCTCCTGCTCGCTTTCCTGGTCAGACTAATAATATATCTACAGTCACTGCTGTTTCCAAAGGCTTAGGTACAAAACCGAATAATCTCTATGCTTCAGCGCTCCA